TACCAGAATTGAAAGCAGAAGGAATGAGATAGAACCCTCTAGGGACCCTATGGGCCATGTCCAGCCGAGGTCTCCTAATTTTTTATTTATTTATTTATTTTGGGATTTATACCCCGCCCTATCCAGTAGCTCAGGGCGGCTAACCCCACTTTCTGGGACAGATCAGCCAGCTGGGACTGGTTGCACCAGAGGAGGGCACCCGCAGTCTCTGTCTTTGTCAATGGCACTGAAGTAGAACCTGCTGTAATGCCCCTATATAAATCAATGGTGCGACCTCATTTGGAATACTGTGTGCAATTCTGGTCACCACACCTTAAAAAGGATATTATAGCTTTGGAAAAAGTGCAGAAAAGGGCAACTCGAATGATAAAGGAGTTGGAACACTTTGCCTATAAGGAAACGTTAAAACGCGTAGGGCTCTTTAGCTTGGAGAAACGACGACTGAGGGGAGACATGATTGAGGTTTATAAGATTATGCATGGGAAAGAGCAGGTAGAGAAAGAGGTACTTTTCTCCCTTTCTCACAATACAAGAACTCGTGGGCAATGTTCCCTCTAAGCTGTGGAGTCTTGTGAGCAAAAATTCTAGTCTGTGAGCTACTGGCATTAAAGTTGTGAGCGAGCGATTTGGTTACTGCATAAATTAGTTTGCTCTGGAGCCCATCCTTCCTGAGCTAAGGCAAAAATGATGTGAGCCGGAGGCTAACAAACTGTGAGCTGGCTCACACTAACTCAGCTTAGAGGGAACACTGCTCGTGGGCACTCCATGAAATTGCTGAGCGGTCGGGTTAGAACGGATAAAAGGAAGTACTTCTTCACCCAAAGAGTGATTAACACTTGGAATTCACTGCCACAGGAAGTGGTGGCGGCTACAAGCATGGACGGCTTCAAAAGGGAATTAGATAAGCATATGGAGCAGAGGTCCATCAGTGGCTATTAGCCACAAGGTATAGATAGGGGCTCTGGGGCAAGTGATGCTTTGTCTTCTTGGTGCTTGGGGGGGGGGTCAACAGTGGGAGGGCTTCTAATGTCCTGGCTCCGCTGGTGGACCTCCTGATGGCACCTGGTATTTCTGGCCACTGTGTGACACAGAGTGTTGGACTGGATGGGCCTTTGGCTTGATCCAACATTGGCATCTCTTATGTTCTTATGCTGTGCCGTCCCTTTCCCAGAGGGAGTCTCCCACTGTGTCTCAAAACCCTGCCTGAAACCTGGGCTGACAAGGAACCCACCTTTAGATGTTTAAACCTAATGGCCGAGAGCCACCTTCTAAAATATATTTAACTGCAAATTAAAAATCTGACACCAAAGACAGAAAACAAAATAAGTGGGAATTAACTGGTGCAAAATACTTTCTCATACCATATCCTCAGATAAGTTCCATATTTTCTCAGATTAAGCGGGAAACTGAAACATCTGAGTACCTTTCCAAATTAAACAGTGATCTGAAAAGAGGATCTTCTCAGATAAAGGCATCTGAGAAATAAAACCCATGGAGGCAATCAAAGGCCTGTGAGGAGTGGCAGGTGGGCAAATCCTGCCCCCACTCAGCAAATGGCTGTAGTGCTGAGCCCCAGTTTCGGTCTAGTCCTGAAGCTGAGCAGGAGTTCAGTGCAGGAGGAGGGGATTTTTACATCTCCCTCCCGAGGGTGCAAGAGACAACCTGTGATTGGGGAAGATGGAGACTGTGAATGTAAGCCTTGCAGTATGCGTCTTGACAATCCTGAGGATAGATGTGCAATTCCGCCATACTCTGTCCTCATTTAATTTCCTGTGGAAACAGCCAACTGAAGCTTTTCATGACATAAAGTTAGATATTTTTCTCCAAGCAGTTGGCAAATCTGGGCATTTTCTCTTCCCTCAGGTAGCCTCCCCACTCAGTGCCAGTCATGTATATTAAATAAATAAAAGAAATGTTATAAAATGCCCCAAAGGGAGCCAGTGAGTTTAAGGACTGGAACTTGTCACTACTCAAGGGAGGGGGGGAGAGAACATCACATTCCTTGCAAGGGTAAGAATTACTCATTGTGGAGAACAGGCTCCTGAGCATATGCAGAATTCTTAATATCCTGAACTCCGGCCCCATATCTTCAACCCAATCCAGGGCCAAACTTCACAAATCATGTTAGCTGTGGCCTTCTGACTCTTCACGCTGCCAGAACATCATCTTTTAATCCAGAGTTGAAAAACCTTTTTGGCCCAACTGCTGACAACCTTTCTCCCCCCCCCCCCCCCAAACAATATCTCCCTCTGAAGATTTTGCGAAGAATAGTTTCTTTTGAACTATGGTGCTGGAGAAGACTCTTGAGAATCCCTTGGACTGCAAGAAGATCAAATCAGTCAATCCTAAAAGAAAGCAACCCTGACTGTTACCTGGAAGTCCAACCTCAAAATTACCTTGAAAATATTCCTTACAATATGGAAACTGCCAGATCTACGTAATATTGTATTGGCAATGGCACCAATTCATGGCTCAATCAATCCTAGGCACCAGGGTGTCATGGCACCTAGAAATGTCACTGTGTCACCGAGGATTTTCATCAGTCCTTTATTTTAAGTATCTCTCGGTGATTCTCAGTAGAAGCACAATGTTTATTTAGGGGAGGGATAGAGGTTAGCTTTTTGTTGTGATGACAAATGGGGTAACCCATATTTCTTTATATACGACAAAGCTTTTGTTGTATCTTTAAGGAAAATGACGAACTGCGAAGAGTTTAAGGTTGGGTTTTGCGGCAGCACTAATGGGAAAGTATGGTCATGAAAATATAAAGTCCTGAATGGTGAACAAAGTCTGACCCTTAAATTTTTGGGGTGGCTCCTAAAGCCATAGACACTTTGTCAAGGCCTGCTCTCCACCCCTCCCCATTTCCCTCACAGTCATCGAACCAGTTGAAGTCCCTAAAACTTGCCGGAAATGTAGGTTGAATGGGAACCCACATTCAGATTTTAAACCTATAGGTTAGCACCATTTACCCATGTACTTGGGTTTTTTTTTTTAACTACTTGGGAACACAAAAAGACATGTACGCCCATCGGCCACTAACAATGAAACTTTATTCTCTCGTCTATGATTCTGCTCAACAACCCTGATCTGCGGAGGCTTTAGGACCATTGGTACTCATCCGCTCAGATCACAGGAAGATGGCGCCTGTCAGCTCGTCTCCCTCCCCAAGCCTCCCTCTTCTCTTTTCCCTTCCTGCCCCACCCTCTTCTTTTTCTCCTGATGCCCAGCTCCTTGCCTCCCTTCCCCCGCCTATTTCCACTTCTGGGACTGGAGTTTGGTGTAGTGGTTAAGTGTAGTGGTTTGGTGTAGTGAGCCCGTTCGCGGGGAGGGCGGGGTATAAATACAATAAAATAAATAAATAAATAGTGGTTAAGTGTGCAGACTCTAATCTGGGAGAACCGGGTTTGATTCCCCACTCCTCCACTTGCACCTGCTGATGTGACCTTGGGTCAGTCACAAGCTCTGGCGCAGCTGTCCTTGGAAAAGAGCAGTTTCTGTCAGAGTTCTCTCAGCCCCACCCACCTCACAGGGTGTCTGTTGTGGGGAGGGGGAGGGAAAGGAGTTTGTAAGCCGCTCTGAGAGTCCAAGTGAAGGGCGGGGTATAAATCCAACCTCTTCTTCTTCTTCTGGAGGCCACTGCTGAGCATGACTGGGGATACTGCCTCCACCTCATCTTGCCCTCTAAATGTGATGGTTGCACACTTTCTCCTTAAAAAAGTAAAAACCAAATATATGGCTTTGGTATTCCCACATCATCCAAAAAAGTTTACTATTAGAGACACAAGCCATCCAAGACCGTGTACCAGCAAAGTCCAGAGATGACCATAATTAAAAATCCATTAAATGTTTCATGCAAGAAGGGTCTCACCCCAGAGGAACACTATTTATTCTTCACAGCAATCCTGTGAGGTATGTTAGGGACTGGCCCAATGGGGACTGAAACTCAGATCCACCCAGATCAATGCTCTAGCTCTTAAAACATGGTGATTAGGCAAGGCAGAAGCTAACAAACAGAACTAAGGACTGCACCCCTTGAAACTAAACCAACACACACAGATATCAGAGGGGGGGAACAGAATGCATTGCACTTTAGATTTTATGTGTTTTAAACTGTTTTAACACTTTTATGTAAGCCACCCTGAGCCTGCTTCGGCGGGGAGGGCAGGGTATAAATCCAATAAATAAAATAAAATAAATAAAATAAAGAGGCCTGGCTGAAGCAAGAGGACTTCTTCCTACACTTTTACAGACCATTTTTAAAAACACATATTACCCTTGCAATGGTCTGATCTGTACCTCAACTTCTTCCACATACACTAATGAGGTTTCTCTCATGTGGATTACTAAGGAGGGCAGAGCTGGTCTGGAATCTCCTTCCACCCTCAGAGCACATCTTTGCTTTCTTTCCTTTGAGATCGGTTGGAGGCTTCAATCATGGCTAAAGTTCAAAAGTTTAATCAGAATACATCCAGATCTTGGTATGTAACCTAGAATCTTTCGATTACAGAAACTTATAGTCGAACATATATTTTATAATTGCATTTTGTATAAGAAGCCATATTAAGCAAAAGTATGATTAGAAGCCTCTGCAGATGGAATTAGGATGCAATAGAAATGGAATGCGCAAGCTGCAGGGACGCCGAGAGCAAGTTTAATGTGATTCACAGCCCTTATCAGTTAGCTCTCCATATGCATGTCAGAAAGGAACCCAGTGTTTATCCTGGAGACCAGATAAGCAAATGCAATCACTGACATACAGTATAAGGAGAGACCAATAGTAAGGTTTAAAGTAAAATGCTTAGTACCAATTAGAGATTCTTTAATGGGTAAACTATATGTGATATCATTTGGGGTATAAGACCTACCCTTCCTGGTTATGGGAGAATACAGTTTTGGAACTGCTGAAGAGCTAAGGTACTCAGCCCTGTATTCCCTGTTTTACTTGCAAATAAACAGATATTCATCTAACTCCTTGGACTCTGACTGTGTAATTCCAATCAGGCCACAGGATCATACGGGGCACAGATTTGTGCATCAGCAGGCACGAGGTTTCTCCTTGTATGGATTCTTTGATGCCTTTGAAGATGGCTACACTGACAGAAGTGCTTTCCACACTCTGAGCATTCAAAAAGTTTCTCCCCTGTGTGGGTTCTTTGATGCAGCTGAAGATGGCCACTTTGACTAAATTTCTTTCCACACTCTGAACATGCAAAACGCTTTTCCCCTGTGTGGGTTCTTTGATGCCGATGAAAGTCACCATTCAACTTGAACCTCTTTCCACACTCTGAGCATTCAAAAGGTTTCTCCCCTGTGTGGATTCTTTGATGCTGTTGAAGACTACCACTTTGACTGAATTTCTTCCCACAGTCTGAGCATTCAAGAGGTTTCTCCCCTGTGTGGGTTCTTAGATGCTGTTGAAGACTGCCACTTTGACTGAATTTCTTTCCACACTCTACGCATTCAAAAGGTTTCTCCCCTGTGTGGGTTCTTAGATGCCGATTAAGGTCGCTATTCAACTTGAACCTCTTTCCACAATCTGAGCATCCAAAAGATTTCTCCCCCGTGTGTGTTCTTAGATGCCATTGAAGATGAAAACTCCTGTTGAATTTCTTTCCACAGTCTGAACATTCAAAAGGTTTCTCCCCTGTGTGGGTTATTTGGTGCTGTTGAAGACTGCCACTTTGAATGAATTTCTTTCCACACTCTGAGCATTCAAAAGGTTTCTCCCCTCTGTGGATTCTTTGATGCTGTTGAAGAGTGCTACTTTGACTGAATTTCTTTCCACACTCTAAGCATTCAAAAGGCTTCTCCCCTGTGTGGGTTATTTGGTGCACAAGGAACTGAGATTTGTATCTGAAGCACTTTCCACACTGAATGCATTTAAATGCCTTCATACTACTATGCTTTGGAAACTGCACCTTAACCTTTTTTCCATCAGAGAAACTCTTTACACTCCCTGAGCAGATAAATGGCTTCTCTGCAGAATCATAAAATCCACTGAGTTTTGTGATGGGTGTATCAAGGGGCATGAGTTGGCTTTCAGCTTCTGAAAAACAGTGGGAAAGCCTTGTCAAACATATCAAACAGGGCCACCCTGGTTTCTGGAGAGGAAAGGGGCAAGGTATTTGGACAGCTTTGAGGTGACCCCTGTAGGAAAGAGTTGCTGGGACTTGGGCTTCATCCAGCTGACATCTTCTTTACTCGAGGATATCAAGTCCTTTGGGGAATCAAAGGACAAGGAAGCAGCCCTTGAAATGAGACACAAAGCCACTTAAGAGCTCAGCCCCAAAAGGAGCTACCAAGACTCCCTGACCTCAGGCCCCAGAAGGCCTCCTTCCCTCCTTACCCAGTGGGCTGGCCTCTCCGCCTTCCTCTTCTTTGATGTTCATCGTGGGACACCTCTGCTCACTTTCAGACAGATCCTGGCCTGCCTTGGAGACATTCCCAGCTGCCTCCTCCAAGGGCATCTACAACAGCAGAGAGGGATGGACCCTTTCAGGGCAGAGCAACAAAGACTGTGGGGAATGTAGAAGGGAGTGTTCTTTTGCCCACCCTATGACAGACTTATCACTATGTAGCACGGAGGAAGCAAGACAGGGGTTCCTTAAGGAACACTGAAAGGTCTGAGCAACACATTGCAAAAGACTCTTGGCACCACCACCAAGAAGGCTCAAGACATAATGGCAACCACAAAACTGTATGGAAGGAGGTCTTCAGGACTCTCCAGACCACACCTCTCATCTGTGGAGATGGCGGGGGAGGGGGAGCAGGAATCTTGAGCACCCAGACGCCCAAGACCTTCTCCTTCAGGGGAAGGGTAACCCTATCAATATAGGCCCATCTACTGGTTCCCAATTTGAGACAAAATTCCTCCCCACCTAAAAACTCTGGATTTGGTTTCCATGAAAATCCACCAACCAAACTTTCCTTTGCATACTGGCTTTCCCTTTCTCCCCCCTTATATGAACAGAGATCTCAGCCCCAGCTCTACCCCAGGCCCTCCCACACTCAGGGCCCACACAGCAGAAGGGTCTCACCTGCTTCTCCTGCCTCAAGAGGAACTCCTCGGCCAGGGCCACCGCCTGAGAGCAGCTCTCGGGGCCGCTCTCCCTCACCCAGCTCTGGGTCTCCAAGGGCAGGATGTTCAGCAATTGCTCCAGGACAAAGAGTTCCAGAATCTGCTCCTTGCTGTGATTCTCCACTCTTAGCCACCTGTAGCACATTTCCCGCAGTCGGCTGTAAGCCCCTCGTGGCCCCTCAGCCTCTTGGTAGCAGAAACGCCGGAACTGCTGACGCTGCTTCTCCTGGCTCTGGGCATCCTCTCGCAAGATGGCTGCCTTCACCTTCCCATAATCCTCTCTATCTGGGATATCCAACCTGTTGAAGCCCTGCTGAGCTTCTCCACTGAGGGCTGGCAGGAGTCGGGTCGCCCACTCTTCCTGGGGCCACTGACAGGCTTTGGCTACTTGCTCAAAGGAGGCCAGAAAGGCCTTGGCATCCTCCCAGGGTGAAGGTTTCTCTGGCAAACGTGGCATTCCACGTGGAGAGTGATGGCTCTCCACTGTCCTGAGGAACTCCTTCCACTGGGCTTCCCACTGCCCCAGGGAAAGGAAGAGAACACTCCACTCCATATGGACTCATCAGGTCTCCTGGTCTCCTTTCCAGGATTCCCTTCACACTCCCAAGCTGAAGGACCTGAGGGGTTTTTCTTGCCCACTCTGATACCTCTCCTGAATTGGGGCCTGTGTGATCTTGCTCCTCCATTTTCACCTCAGAACGATCCCTCAGAACTCGCACTGCAGAACTGAGATTTATACTATCGTTTTCCAGCCTGGGCTTCTCCCTGGAGGAATGGGAAAGAGAGTGAAGAGACACAAATCAACTGCTGGTGGGGGTGGCCCCCACGTGATGTTCTCCCCACGCACACAACTCATGTACAAAACCGCATCACTTTCACTGCAGTAGATGTAAAAAATTTAAAAGCTATTTTATACTAGGGCCCGGAGGCGCCCTCTCTTTCGAGTGACAGTGTCATGACCGTGATGTATTGCATTAAGTCAAATGTGTGACATCAGGACGTAATCATCACAAGATTTCCCACCATGTGGGCTTGTCTGCAACAATTAAACTAATATTTATGAAGGCTGAAAATGCACCCATTTGTAAAAACATAAAAAAGTTAAAATCCAATGCCATAGGGCAAAGGCCAACTCCCATATGCCAGACGAACAGTTATACATTCACCTCCTCCAAATATACCCATCCTTGACATTCATGTAAACTTTTGGGTCCACCGTGGG